TTATTAAATATATTTTGTTGGTTTCTTTTTGGTATTTTATTTCTTTTAATTTAATCAGACTATAATTTTTTTTGTTGAAATAATTAATATGTATAAAATATATATATATATATATATATATATATATTATTTTGTTATTATGTATGATAAAATAATTAAATATTTTTCATACAATTCGTTGTTTTATATTATTGGTCATTACAATTTTAGTTTTTTAGAGCATCTCTAACAGTTATGTTAAATAAAGAAAAAAAAGGAGGAATTTTAACATTCTTTTTGCTTCAACAACTATGTTATCTTGTATTTTGAAACAGGAAAAAAGTAGAAAGATTGTAAAAATCTATAAATTTAGAAAAATCTCTAAATAGAGAGAGAGAAATTATTGTTTTATATCGTCCAACCAATAAGAAGTGTTGAACATTAATGTTTAAGAGAGAGAAATAATATTTTATTAAATGTATTCAATATTATAGCTATAATAATATAGTTAATGTTGGAATTGCTAAAATAGAATAGCTGTTAGATATGAATATATATATATATATATATATATTTTGTTGAGATTTTGACTTTTAGTACTTTATTTTAGAGAGAGAAAATAGCATAACCGTTGGAGATACTCTTATTAGTTCGATTTTTGTCACTAAAGTCATTCAAATACAAGTCATTGAGTAGCCCTCCTGATAGTATTTTAATTCTTTTTCTTCATTACGGACTAAACGATTAAATTTTTCATAAGACCAAACAATTAACTATATTATGCTGTTTTTTCCCAAATAAATGTATACAGTTTTATTAATAAAACGTATAATTTTATAAACTTATTACAACACATTTATATAAAATATACATTTATTTATAAGCCATATGGACGGAAATCGCAATTTCAAAGCTATAAGAATGAAAATCACAAATTTTGTCAAATCACGTGAACGAAAATCATAATTTACTCTAAAAATAAACTCAATATTTTACGGGTTTAATAAATATAATATTGTTTAATTTCAAAATATAGTTTTATTTAAAATAAGATAAATATATTTCTTAAGCTTTTTACGATATGACATATGACATGATTGATTAAAAACGCGTAATTGGAATATCATCACAATAGCTTTGATTTTAGTTGTGCAGTGTTTTTGTACCTTCCCCTTGGTCTTACGGTCATTGGTTATTTTGGCTTGTTATGCTCACATATCTCTTTTGTGTTTCTACAGTTTACAATCATCGATATCTGTTTGCACATAATCTTTTACTGATATTTTTCCGTGTTATATATTTTTGTTTTCAAAACCTATAAATTCTGTTAAGAACTATGTTAGTTTCGTACCTTTCCAAATTCTTTTATTATTCCATCAGTTACGTGTTCTGAAAATATTTTTTATGAATAAAAAGAAAGGAAATGGAGGAAAATAAGAGGAAGGGGTTGTGTTGGTAGTTGATGAATGGTTTGGTGCAGAATGATTAAGAGATTCTCATGATACAGTGCAAAATGAAATATAATTGTTTGATAGTTATTAAATTAGGGCGCTGAATGGTTAAGGGAGACCCGATATACAAAATCATTCAAAAGGTTTTAGAACCATTAAGAGGCAAAAATTTTATTTGTCAAATAAGATTCACTGCTTAACGATTCAGATACTGTCTCTTAATGAAACTATTAAAAGGTAAACAAACAACCCCGAAAGTAAAAGAAACTGGTGTTCTTAAAACTTGATAAGTTTATTCTCAATAATTTGAGAAATTATTTAAAAAATGACACATTTTCTTCACTTTCTCTCGTGTTCTAAATTTATTGTCCTTCACTTGCTTTTATTTTCTCTCCAATTTCGAGAACACATCGTAAGAGTCTTTAAGATTTAATGTTTATGACAGATAAATATTATTTATATTAAATGTGTTAATTATTTTAATAATATAACCAATTTGTAATCCATACAGTGAAAAATCTCTTAGGACCCGTATGGCTTGTGATACACGGTGAAATTTAATATAAGGGGTTGTTTGTTTACCTCTTAATAGTTATATTAAGAGACAACATATGAATCTTTAAGAGGTAAATATTGTTTGGCAAAAAAAAATGTCTCGTAATGGTTCTAAAACCCTCTGAATAATTTTATCATGAACCCCTATTAACCATTCAGCGTCCTAATTTCATTGTAAACAATTAAATTTTATTTTGCACTATATCATGAGAGCCGCTTAATCATTTTGCACCAAATCATTCAGCTACTGTCAAACAACTCCTTATAGAGATTTGAAATTGAATTATATTCCAATACCTTGTTTCGTTTGGCAGAAAAGTATTAATTTGAAATTCCACAAACCGAGGACTTAGAATCATCACGGACCAACGGATTTAGAAATCTCACGAGGAAAGTTGGTATTTCATGGGATCTTAGAACATCTACAACACGTATGCTATATTTTCTCGTACTTCTACCAAATTTAGAGAATTCTCCATTCTCTCCCCCCTCTTTTTCCTTTTATTTTAAAAGAGAGTTTATCATAGCTGTTGGAACAAAATCTCTAAATTTTCAAAAATAGTATACCTGCTGGAGATGCTTTTATAGGATTTGTCTGTAATAATGTTTTAAAAATATGCTAAGAGCATCTCCAATAGATTCTCTAAAATAGAGAATCAAAAGTCAAAACCTGTAAAGAAAATTTATATTCATCTCCAACATTTTCTCCATTTTAGAGATTAAAATATTAATTAAATTATTAAAACATTAAATACATTTCATAAATATATATTTTTTAAGAGTTCTCCAAATTTGAAGAATTTTACATCCTCTCTCATACTTTCTCCATTTTAAAGAAGGTTTTGGGAAATATATTGGACCAAAAATCCCAATAATCTCCGTTTTGGATAATGTATCAGACGTTTTAAAAACATTCCTTTTCTAGTAATTAATTTATAAAAAAAATAATTAATTATTTCTATAATTTCATCACAATTCAAACATATGGGAATTCCAAATATTTGCAATTCCATATCTTTTTATGAAATTCAAATCTCTAAAAAAACATTCAGTCAAACCAAATATTTCCTCATAATTAAATGTGATTTATTTTTTGACTTTTAACTCGTATTTAAATAAATTTTCAGCAATATTGATACGTATATTGTTTTGGTTTTATTTAAAATTTAAAATATGAGAAAATTCTTAAATTTTGCAATATATCATCCAAATCAATATATTGAATGATATTGTGTTCATTTTGATTATCAATTATTTACGCGGTGTTTGGTTAAATGTATTAAACGGTAATCAATGAGAATGAAAATAAAAGAATATGTTTGGTGTTATCTATACTATATTATAAAGCATTTAACAAAAACTCTTAATTTTTTGTATGCATAAAGTACCGTTTATTGATGCATATAAATTCAAGATTACAAGTTGAATGTACGTAAGTACAACTTATTAAAGCTTTATGTTTGAATTCGTATAACTAACTGCAGATAAACATTATCAAATATATGATAAACATCATTTTAAATATAAAAAATCTAAAATATAATTAAGATAATCATTGAGTTATAACAGAACACTTAATTATTATCTTTAAAAAATATTATTAAATCAAAAATAAATTAATTTGTTTTTAAAATTCAATTAAATTATAATAAAAAATTGAATTAAATAAATTACACAATTTTTTTTAAATAGTTAATTTAATACTAATATCGTTTATTTTTATCAAAATTATATGATATATTCAAATTTATATTTCATTCAAAAATAAAAATATTTTATTTTTCTAAAAAACACATAAAATCGCATTATAACATTGATAGATTCAAAAATATAAAACGAAACATTAAAATCAAGATATATCTCGTTGCATTGCACGAGTATTATTCTAGTATTATATAATGGGTTGATTCCTCGAGAAGCCCAAATTTTCATCCCAGATTAAATTGGGAGGAATGAAAATTGATTCTCATTTTCATTCCCACCATGAACCAAACAGACCCTTAAATTAATTTGAATATAATAATTGAGAATCTAAAAAAAGATGACATAATTATCATCTATAAAAACAAGCAACTTTTTGCAACATCCCGTTTAATACAATGAAACAACTTATAAATGAAAATTACCAGTATATCCTTAATTATCTATACTATATTATAAAGCATTTGACAGAAACTTTTAAAAATATTTTTTGTGCGTAAAATATTGTTTATTAATGCATATTACTTAAAACTCAAGATTACAAATAGATTGTACGAAAGTACAACTTATTAAAACTCCATATATGAATTCGTGTAACTAACTGCAGATTAACATAATCAAATACAAGATAAACATCTCATTTTAACTATAAAATATCTAAAATATAATTTAGATAATTATTGAGTTTTAACAAAATATTTAATTATTATCTTTATAAAATATTATATTATTAAATAAAAATAAATTATTTTGTTATTAAATTTAAATTAAATTATAATTAAAAAATAAATTAAATAAATTACATAAAAAATAAAAACTTTTAAATAGTTGATTGGATATTAACAGATATATATATTTTTTCAAATTTATATCTTATTCAAAAATAAATCAGCATTGCTTTCTTAAAATCATATAAAATTATATTATAACATCGACAGAGACACATAATAAAATAGAACATTAAAATCGAAATGTGTCTCGTTGTATTGCGCGAATACTCTTCTAGTTTATTCTAACATTTAAAATAACTATGATTAAAAAATGATTCTAATTGATACATCAAATTTATAAAGTTAATACTATTTATTTGGTTAACAAAAGATATTCGGTATAATAATATTCTTTTTCAAACCTTAAATATACGTTTGGTTTGGTTTATTCAAAATTTAAAATTCAAGAAAATTCTTGAATTTTGTAATCAATGTCCGAAGCTCCGACAGCGATGGTTTGACACCTTACCTTCACAAATTACGCGTTTGGTTGGTCCCTAATTTCAGTTTCCATTTCATACTCACCTCCCTCTCTACACTCTATATCTCCCTTACCCTCGATTTCTTCCATTTTCAACTCTATTTCCTCCATAATTACCATCTGTTACCAAGAATCTTCCCTGAATTTGAAAACCCTCCCTACTGAAATGGTGTTTCCCTAAGAAATTTCGTTTTACTGTGCTCAAATCTGTGGTTTTTTTTGGGTGCCGATTGAACTGAATCAATGGCGGGTGGTGAAGGGGAAGGGACGTCGTTAGAGTTTACACCCACATGGGTTGTTGCCGGCGTCTGTACGGTCATCGTCGGAATCTCACTCCTCGTGGAACGTGTACTCCATTATTCCGGCAAGGTCCGTTAAACCCATCTATTTATCTTCGTTTGTAGGTTTATAAATGGGGTTTGATCGATTGATCATCTGTGTGTACTTTTTGAACCCTTTTTGTGCAGAAATTGAAGAAAGCAGGCCAAAAGCCATTATATGAAGCCCTGCAAAAGATCAAAGAAGGTATTATTTTCAGCTTTTCTATACTGCAAATATAAACATAGGGTTTATATGTATAGATCAAACTTAAAACACACACACACACACACACACATATATATATATACACACACACATACATACATACATATATAAGAATTACATGGTTTGTATTTGAAACTCCCCCTATATATATGAAGTGTTAATCTTTTCCTGATAAAATAGAATCTAGTTGCTAAATTTGGAGTATAAGTGAAATGATCTTTCAAAACTTGATTTTTAAGGTAAAATATGCTAAATTTTGACTCCAAATTTGTAATTATACAAGCTTGATGCCTCTTTAGTGATGTCTGAAAATAAAATCAAATTAAAGAAATCATATCCCACTTGTAAGTAGGGTTTGGGCCTAAAAGCGGTTGTTTCTTTGAAGACCCTTGTTATATATTAGAACGATGTTAGGGGTTGTTTATTTTTTTCTCATCAAGTCCTGAATGGGTTAAGTTGTCTGTCTGAGGGACGGGAGACTGATAGGTTTGAGGGAGGCAAAGAGAGATGGTCAGATTATTTCCGGGGTATTTCTGGTAGAAATTTGTTTGAGGTGGCTTAATGGGGACAAATGAGGGGTCTTGATTTTGGCTTAATGGCTTAACCATCAAGCCATAAAGAAATTGTATGGTTGAGCAACTAAGCTCTCAAACCGTTAAGCTCATTAAGCTGTAACTAAACTACCCTTAGTGTTAAATCGGTAAAACTGCACATTTTTACATTTAAAAATTACCATTTTGACACAAAACTAGTAATTAACTCCTACGGCTATCACACTTGGTTTTTTTCCAAACAGATCACCGTTCTTGTGAAAATATGTGGAAGATCCATTATACTTGATACTCTGATCCAAGAGCGTTTATTCTTATGATTAGTGTAAAGTTATCTTTTGCGTTTCTATAATATCATTTTTGTGTCCTTGATGCTTAGCCGGATTGCAATATCAGAAGCAGGGCTACCGGACCCTTTTCTTCTACAAGTTTATTGAATCTTTTCGAATTTTTGGTGCAGAATTGATGCTGTTGGGGTTTATTTCTCTTTTATTAACGGTTTTCCAATCTAGCATCGTCAAGATCTGTGTGAAGGAGGGTCTAACGGAACACCTTCTTCCGTGCTCATTGAGTGACAAAAAAGAGGCCTCAAAACCTAAGGCGGAGGGTACATCTCATCTTCGTCATTTGCTTGCCGAAGAAGCATCGGCTGTCGGTTATTGCGCGTTAAAGGTAATCAATTTAGATCATATCTACGATGCCCGTTATACGTTTAATATTATTACTCTTGAGAAGTTCACTTGAATTCTTTTCTAGATTCTAACAAGCTTCATTTCGTTCCTAATTACTCTAGTATTGATATATGAACTTCCACTATGCATTTTTGGAGGGGTGAGAGTTATGTAGATGGGTGAAAGAATTGTGGAAGGTTTTACGTCCCGTTTTGTATGCAGAATTTGGAGGGATTTGGAATTGAATTCCATTCCATACTCATGTTTGTTTTGAAGGATTTCTTGGATTTGAAATCCCGGGATTTCAATGAAATTCACAAACATAGGATTTTGAAATCCCACGGGTGGTGGTTGGTATTTCACGGGATTTCGTAAGATTTGTATTTATGATGTTCTAAAATATGTTAAAAATGTTTGTTTTGTAATAATCAATTAATAGAAAAGGTAATTTAATTATTTTTATAATTTTTTATAAATTATTTATAAAGAATGGAATTCAATTCCATTCTAAATCTTACAAACCAAACACACCAAAGATTCCAAATCCAAAGTCTTTCATGAAATCTAAATCCCTGAAAACCATTCCATCAAACCAAACGCCCCCTTAGGGTTTTAACTTAACACGGGTAGTTCAGTAATTTACCAATCCTATCTCATCTCCCTGATTTTTGTTCCACCTATTTTGTCGGGAACAAAAAAAATGCATTTTTGTCCCTCTCAGTCTCATCTTGAGCCACGAGTTTGTTTGGTTTTATTCTGTTCCGTTGTGTCTTATGTACCAAATGCACACTTAAACAAACACACACACACACACACACACACACACATATATATATATATATATATATATTTCAAATTGGTTACATGTTACTGTCGTTTGCCAACTTGATAAATGGTTGATGATGCATTCGTCTTTTTAGTAATTGTATTTAGTGGCCATGCCGACAAGTAATTACAGAGTTGTATTCTATTGTTCTTTGCAACTCGGGTTGCTATTTATTTTGGTTTAAATAAAGGTTTCTCATCGTCCATGAGCATTAATCAAACACTTGTATCTTTTGCTTTTTCTACTTCCTTTTTCGACAGAATAAGGTCCCGCTATTATCTCTTGAAGCATTGCATCATCTACACATCTTTATTTTCGTTCTAGCTGTCGTGCACGTGACGTTTTCCGTCCTCACTGTTGTATTCGGAGGGGCAAAGGTTAGTAAAAGGGTTGATGATTCGTTTTTTTTATTCCTACGCGATTCTACATTTTGTTTCATCATCAATATCCTTTTTTATGGTGTAGATACGTCAATGGAAGCATTGGGAGGACACTATCACGAAAGACAATTTTGATGCCTCACAAGGTAAGGGTTATCACGTGTCGTTTATTTATGGCCGAAAATAAGTGGCTACATTTTCACTTTTAGTTTGTCCTAAAATAACTCTAAAAATAAGTGCCTACTTTCCAATTCTATCCTTCATTATGAGATGGAGAAATTCATTACCTCTTTTATTATTAAGGGTAAAATTGTAATTTAGATAATTAAGAAGTGTAATAACTCTAAAAATAAGTGCCTGCTTTCCATTTCTATCCATAATTATGAGATGGAGAAATCAGAAATTCATTACCCCTTCTATTATCAAGGGTAAAATTGTAATTTAGATAATTAAAAAGCGTAATAACTCTAAAATAAGTGCCTACTTTCCAATTCTATCCTTAATTATGAGATGTAAAAATTCATTACCCCTTCTATTATTAAGTGTAAAATTGTAAGTTAGATAATTGAAAAGTGTAATAACTCTAATAATAAGTGCGTTACTTTCTAATTCTATCCTTAATTATTGAGATGTAAAAATTCATTACCCCTTCTAATCTTCTGTTATTAAGGGTAAAACTGTAATTTAGATAATTAAAAAGTGTAATAACTCTAAAAATAAGTGCCTACTTTCCAATTCTATCCTTAATTATGAAATGGAGAAATTCATTACCCCTTCTATTATGAAGGGTAAAATTGTAATTTAGTCAATTAAAATTTATGAAAAACGTAATCTTCAAGTTCCATGAGACGATTGCTTCATGAAAGTACGACAATTTCTCTAGGAAACCATGTAGTTTCTTTTAAAAAATATTAATAGTTTATTCCCATTCACAGAATTTTCTGATTCAAGCTTTTAACTACGCTCGTTTGCAGTGCTAAAGCCGAAAGTCACCCATGTTAAAGATCACGACTTTATCAGGAACCGTTTTGTGGGTATCGGGAAACGTTCAGCCATTGTAGGCTGGCTGGTAAGTCAATTACTATCATATTCATGGCGATTTAAATAGCGGGTTTGATTTTAATTTATATTTTATATGCCCAAAATTGCGGCCTCTACCTTTTGTCTTTTTATGAAGTGGTATTTCTTTATAGCTTATAGGACCACATTATATACTTACTTTGCACTTTATATAGTTGGTAGAAAAAAGGATATTATTTGCTCACCGTTCGTTTTAAGGACGTAAATGATCTTTTCATAGTTTGACCTAGTGATGCACAAAATATCCCAAGCTGGAAGCCCGGTCCAGCCCAGGCCTCAATGCCCGAGCAGGCTGATAATTTTGGGGGCGGATCCACCTCAAAAAAGCCCGACCTGAAAAATCCCAGTTAAGCTCGAAAAAGCCTGATCAGACCCTTTCTAAACCCCAAAGCCTGGCCTGGGCCTAAAACAAGGGACTTCTTTTACCCACTGAAACGGGCTTGGAAGGGGGCCCAGGCCCGAAAAAGGTTGGGCCTTCTGCATCTCTAGTTTGTGCAAGTATATCACCCCAGAGTCCCTATGGCCCAAAAAAAAGGTCGTGTTGGCTTTTCGTTTTGAATGCAATCTTTTAACTTCTACGAACAAGAATTATGGTATTTGCATAGCCTATTTTCCAAAATTTAACCTTAATTATGAGACGGAGAAAATCATTACTCCCTCTATTGTTAAGGGTAAAACTGTCATTTAGGTAATCAAAAAGTGTACTAATTACACATTCTAAAACTGTATGCCTTTTGCATTGTGGGAATTTCCTTTGAGACAGAGGGAGTAACAACTCACTCCTCTACTAGATTACCGAATCTACACTCCTCTACTAGATTACCGAATCTACACTGTCGTTTGTTTGTCACTAAGAAGTCAAATATGATAAGTTTAAACAAATAGGATCGTCCCGGAGATACGGAAACTGAAAGAAATTTATGGAAAACGTGAATATGAACGGTATTAGTAATGAATCTTTAAAATCGGAAGACGTCTCCTTTTCTGGGCTGGAGGGAGATTTTCCGTTCATTTTAGCTCGATGATGGTCAACATACCATGCACGTTCATTTGACCGATTAAAATTCCATCACATTGTCGAATTACTAGATTTTTTATTTTTATTTTTTGAGTTAACTTTTTGTTCTTTGGTGAAAATTACAGCATTCTTTCTTCAAGCAATTCTATGGATCCGTCACAAAGTCGGATTATGTAGCATTACGCTTGGGATTTATCACAGTAAGGATCTATTCGAAGACTATATAGTATTACTTTCCAATTCTACCCGTAATTATGAGATGGAGAAATTCATAAACCTCTGTTGTGAAGGGTAAAATTGTAATTTAGTTGATTACATATTTCTTAAACTACGTGCCTTTGATATGGTGGACGTTTATTTTTGGGATGGAGGGAGTATAGTTTTTTGTATCGTATTCATTTATGTTATAAACTTTTTTCGTAGACGCATTGCAAGGGGAACCCGAAGTTCAATTTTCACAAGTACATGATACGGGCATTGGAAGATGATTTTAGAAAGGTGGTCGGGATCAGGCAAGTGGTTTTTTTACTTCTAAACATACTCTCTCGGTCTGGTTTCTTTACTTTTCAAATTCAAATATTTTGCATTTGAAAAGCGTAAATATTTTAAGAACTGTTAGAACCAACTATTCGTGAATTATTCATTATGAATAATGAAAATGCATGATAGTCATGATGAATAATATTCATGAATATTTAAGTATATTCATCATGAATAATTCATGATTAATTTGTTCTCACGGTTCTCCAATACTCTTATACCATCAAATATAATCATCAAGACTTTCTAGCCCAAATGAAATGATTTCCGTCACTTTTGAAGTAAACCAATCCATTTGACACCCAAAAGTCAAACGTTTTCGGGACAAATCATTTGTTGGTTCATCCTCTAATTTCTGATTTTATCGTTTGCAGCTGGTATTTGTGGCTGTTCGTGGTCCTATTCTTGTTGCTGAACATTAACGGTATGCAATGACATTCCTTCTCACTATTCATTTTCTCAAAGTTGTTGAAACTTTCCGAAAATGAATGTTGTACTAGATTTCGAGTTTAATTGATGCATTCATTTACCATTTCTTAGTCTCGCTCGTATTTCTCATATACTCCATTTGACCTCAAAGAAAAGTGACTTTTGATCAAAGATCCAAATATACCGCCATACAGGGGCGGACCCACTATGGTGCATACGGTGGCACGGGCCCTTGCTTCATTCCCCCGTTGAAGTGTAAATATTTTAGGGCTGTGAAAGGTGCCACCGTATTATTTTGTTGGGTTCAACCGTATATTTCTTGAAACTACAATAATAACACAAGTTTCTCATGTTCTTTTCTCCACTTCCAAGCACGAGGTATTATTTTCTTAGTTTTTAGCTATTAATTTCAGGTTTATTATGTTTATGAATTTTTTTGGGATAAAAGACTTGAACACAGAACCTCACATACAAAAGATAAGGGACTAGACAACAGACCAATGATTATTTTGTAAACAATATCCATAGCTTCCTTTTTTTATCGTCAAATGGTGCCCACCACTTAGAAAAAAAATTAGGTCCGCCTCTGATATACCGTACAAACCCAGTATATCCCACCCAGAAGCAGGGTCTGGGAGGTCAGATGTACACAAACCTTTTCCTCCACCTCAGGAGGGAGAGAGACTGTTTCCGAGAAGATCCTTGGAAGTGTAGTGATTTTTTTATTTAAAAACTTTAAATGTTTTGGTTATGATACCTTTTCATATACTTGAAAGTATAACGGCAATTTTTGTCGATTGTGAAGTTTAAAAATAACCCCGTTCACAAAATATCATACGATTATGGCTCCGTTCTTTGATTGAAGGGGTGTTGAAGGTGAAAAAGTATCTTGGATATTTGTAGAGTGTGATCAATTGGCGTAAAGACTTTGACTTGCCATTGACTTGTTTTTTTCTTGGAATTTTTGCAGGTTGGCATACGTATTTTTGGATAGCGTTCATCCCTTTCTTTGTAAGTAGTCCAACTCAAACTTAATCCTACTCTTCTAAAACTTCAGCATTGTTTCCGAACATCGTTGTATACTTATAAGTTCATAAGCCTGTCATATAACGTAAATAGAAAATCGAAACATACAAGTGTTGTGTGGGTTGCGGTATCTTTTGATAGGGAGGCTTTTCGGTGTGTTCTGCGGCTTTTTATCTAGGTAGGATATTTGCGTTCTTTCATAATCCGTCTTACAGAACCTATCTTTTTTCCAAATCTATGGCATCCCAAAATAAGGGGTTGTTTGGTAGTTACTGAATGGTTTGGTGCAGAATGATTAAGAGGCTCTCATTTTATAGTGCAAAATGAAATATAATTGTTTACAAGAAATTAGGGCGTTGAATGGTTAAGGGAGGCCCAGGATGTAAAATCATTCAGAGGATTTTAGAAAGTTAAGAGGCAGACTTTTTTTTTGCCAAACAAGATTCACCTCTTAACGATTCAGAAGTTGCCACTTAATAGAACTGTTAAGAGGTAAACAAACAAAACCCTTAGGGTAATCATTACACTTGTAGGATATGGATATTGTATGTAATCTTCCCCGCGATTTTGGCATGAGGACTGTTTCCGTGGGAATAAAATGTATTTGTAATTTTTGCAGCTTCTACTTGCGGTGGGAGCGAAACTGGAGCACATAATCATTCAGTTAGCTCACGAGGTTGCTGAGAAACATATTGCCATAGAAGGCGATCTGGTGGTACAACCGTCGGATGATCACTTTTGGTTTCATCGGCCCAGAATCGTGCTTTTCTTCATACATTTTATCCTCTTTCAAAATGCATTTGAGATTGCATTCTTCTTTTGGATTTGGGTACTCTTCTCGTCCCTGAAACATTATATATATATAAGAAAATGAAAAACTAAGGAGAACCCTGATAACCATTCATCTAGATGGTATGCACATGTGCATAGAAGTAATTGAAGTTGTTATTTGGTTTTTATGCATGCGTGCATGTTATGCATTTTTTGCATACCGGACAAATTGCTTACAGATTATTTGTACGCGCATGTGCATACCGTCCAAATGAAAGGTTACTAGGGTGTTCCGGTTTTCCCCTGAACCTGATCCTACATATATGCAAAAGTAGTAAAAAGAAGTCATGCTTTTCATTTTTTTAACAGGTTCAATACGGCTTTGACTCGTGCATAATGGGGCAAGTGCGCTACATTATCCCTAGACTGATTATCGGGTAAATATCTATTTCCAAGGACCGAAATACAACAAAATTTGCCTTACTTCCTATTTACTGCAAGTCCGTAACGATGCATTTCTTTTTCTCTCGTTAAATGTTAGAAACGATCAAATTTCGTATTTCATACCCATTTTGACCGGTAACATATTGATCTTGTAACTACTGATTACATGGATGCCAGGTTGTCTGCGTATTATATTGTAATTATTGATTACGTTGAAAAATATAACATCAAAATCAACTGATACCACGTACGTTGACAACCCGTTTATCAGGTAAAATGGGTAGGAAATAGGGAAAAAATCATCGTCACACTAGATAGAAAGTCAAATTCCGTTACATCTTAATGCATTTTGACAACCCGTTTATCAGTGTTTCGGTTTTTGATTGGACTAGTCGGCTAACACCAAAAACCGCGAAAGTAAACTGAATGCCGTTAAATTTACTTAACCGGATGGCTTTGTTTCAGGGTGTTCATTCAAGTTTTGTGCAGTTACAGTACTCTGCCACTTTATGCTCTTGTAACTCAGGTACTCCATTTAAAGATCCATTCTTTTTATATTTCTAATTGTGCTTTACGGGCAATCGATAGATGAAGGAAGCAGTGTAAACGAGTCGAGTCGAGTAGCAGGTTATTCGAGCTCGGCTCGGAAAAATAATAACAAGCTCGAGCTAGATTAACTTTTTCAAAATTGGTTTTGAGTTCGAGCTCGATGCTCGTTTATGAGCTTGAATTTGAGATCGATTAACTCGTTTATTTACTCAAGCTCGATAATTTATATTGTTGATTATATAATCTGTAAGCATATAAATATGTTTGGCTTGAAAAAGTGTATGCTCGGCTCGGCTTGACTCGACTTGTAAAGTTCAATCGAGCTTCCAGACGAGTTGAGTCGAACATTGATGTTGTGGAGCTCAACTCGTTTACACCCCTAGATGAAGGGATGTGTTTCCATACTTTTTATACAATCAACATAGCTGATTTGTTCTACCCGTCAAATCTAGATGGGAACGTATTTCAAGAAGTCAATATTTGACGAGCATATTCAAGCGAAAGTCGTGGGGTGGGCTCTACACGCCAAGCAAAAGATGGCTAATAACGGTGGGCCGAGCCATCGTGATGGCTCGGGCCACGATGGTTCTGCTGCTGCCGCCCCCTCTGCCGCTGGTTCTGCATTCAAGGGTATCCAACTTGCAAAACTCAATCAGCAGTCGTGATATCGCACAGCGCGTTGTGGAGATATATATGTTTATACAATATGCTAGTAGGCAGAAAGTTGGGGCCGATCTTGAATCTGGCTTTGCTATGGCGACTATAGTAATCGCGTTTTAGCGGATTTTCGTTTTGGATCGGCGAAATGCTACAAGATTTGAACCCGCAACCTCTGTTGTATTACCAGTGCCGTTTTGAGGTGTACTTGCTTAATGATTAAGGTGTTTTGCTTTTTACGTGGTTCGTTTTCTTTCGACCATGCCAATGTATCCGAGTTGTCGAAACATTTAGTGGTTATATACATGATAAAATTAGGCTCTATATAAAGACCTTTGGTTCATGTGGTTTATCAAAAACGACACTTTCGTCTCGTAAGTTTTGAAATTACAAGATGTTCATCGTGGTTTGCAAAAATGTCCAGATTTGATCCCTCCATCTAATGACCATTAAAAATTCCGTTGAATGAGGGATATTTTCGTCCTTTTATTGATGGTTTTTACTCAATCATTGAATCAGTCATAATTAAAGAGAACCGCTATATCAAACACTAATAAGATACACTAGATCAATTCTTTTCTAAAGCGTTGTTTTGAGATTAAAAGTGATCAATGGTCCAAACTCATTACATTTCTCACTTAACTCTTATTCTTACACGATCCTTCGTCTACCAGACTATGGGTTAAAGATTATTTTTTGGAAGGGTGTCCAAGCTATGCCTGGATTAATTCCTTCAAATTGTGACTGCATATAAACCAGCCTGATAAACTCCGTCCCTACAATTGTTGTGTACGTCTGGAATCAAATTTTAAGACAGATGAGATATTCCACCACATCTCCCAGGTTCTTAACCACCAAACCGTAAGAGGTTCAAATAAGAAGACTAAATATCGTGAAAAAAAAAACTAAGAATGGAAAATTATGGAAAAATTCATATATAAATTATTGAAAAAATGTGAAGAAAATTTATCACGAAGATTATTCATGAGTTCACATATGCATTACTAAATACATTTTTTTTCCAATAATTCACATATGAATATTCCCTTATGATATTTAATCTTATTCATTTGAGCTTATATTTACAAAACTTGTTATTTAAACAAAAACTTTGTTCTGAAAATACTTCATTTATTATTAATCAAATATTATATTTGTCAATCACTAAAACACGAGAAAATAAGCTTTGAAAAACACGAATAACTACTTGATTTCAAGTGTCATGATTTGTAAGAATAAACAACCAACTCAAACATCTATTTATACTCGAGTAATGGCCAGACCAGCTACAAGAGCACCTATCCATTAACCAGTTAACTCGTACGAATAACATACATAAATGTAACCACCGTTCATTGGATAAAGCAACCAGTTTACAAGTTTCTTCGACTTGAGCTCGATTCAACGCACATAATTATTTGTTTCTTCAAATAAAATATTTCATACCGTAGCACCATGAATAGAGATAGAGATAGCGATAGCAGAGCAACGCCCAATACACCAACGGAGATGTTGTTTCCGTGAAAATCCCCAGAGAATTATCATAGCGTGGTGTGACTGCGGCGAATATTGCTACTAATTCCGCAAGTTCTCCAATCTCAACAAAGTATTTTCTACTGTAGCGCCCTGAATATCGCATAGCAATGCACCAAAAAGGATAATGTTCCCATTAAGACCCCCAAAAAAATAATCAAGGGTGACATGGCAACATGTTGCTACTAAACACACAGTAATCCAATCTCAACGAAGTATTTTCTACTGTAGCACCCTGAAGAGCGTATAGCAAAGCAACGCCATGTACACCAATAGAGATACAACTTCTGCGAAGACCCCGGAGAATTATTAAGGGTGACATGACTACTACCACATATTGCTATTAGTTCCGCAAATTCTCCAATCTCAACAACAAATTACAAATTGTCTAATTTCGAACCTTAAGGGTCAGCTCAACTAGCAAATAAAGGGCTACGGCTCGGGGCTTCCCCTGAGGTCGCCAATTCTCCTCAGGGCGCTGCTCGTTTTCTGATTGTTATCTTCAAGTCCCATAGGATTACCCAAATTGGCGCAGAAACTGATCCGAACCCAATGTTACCAAAAAGAGCATAGTCTAGCTTCCAATATCAACTCAACAAGAATAAAGTTGAATGATTCATATGTGAATATTACAAGGCTTTGTCAAATATTTGATGGATGATTACAAACGAGAAACTCTTTTATCTTTTACAAGGAATTATCCGACTTTTAAACCATCGTATTTACTTTTCATTGCGAACCATTGTGAACGTCGAAAAGAACCACATTTTTGCAAGATGAATGACTTTAAACTACATATTCTCGCAATGGGTGATGGTTTGTTTTGCAACAAAAAACCAAATAGATGGCTTAAAAATCAACTATTCCAAAAAACCTAGCCTCGTCAAGTTTATGCGCCATGAATGCATGTTACAATCATTTCTAACCACAAGACGGGACTAAATTCAGACACTTTTTTTCGTCAAATATCGTCTTTAGGAAGCAATAAGCGCACATGGAAGGTAAGAAAACGTACAACAGATTCTTGATCATGCTTGATCAACGTACTCTGGAAGCCAAAAGCGATCCAACTAAGTTTATGTTACTTGTCGGAACTCGCGTTTGAGTTATGCATTGCTAGCCTAAGTTCGCTCAAGAAATCAATCTGATGACCTGAAGGTCCAACTCCAGATGTTGCGGGAATCATCTGAAAACATTACAAAAAGAGACAACCTGATTCAAAAAACCTAGAAGAGTAGGAAAGAGATAAATGGTAATACGATAGCTGGTAGCTGATAAAATAGTCACATTTGGTAAAAAAACTTGCTGAAAAGCTAGATGATAATATAAAATGACATAAAAGAAAGATATAAGGGGGGTTTATGTAAAATTTAAGGGGCCTAATTGGAAGAAGAAAATGTAGAGGAGCAGGAAACAGATGAACGGCTAATAAAGAAGCCGGTAGCTGATAAACTAGTCACGTTTTTAAAAACTTGATGATAAGCTAGATGACAATATAAAATGACATAAAACAAAAATATAAGGAGTGTTTATGTAAATTTTAAGGGGCATAATTGGAAGGAAAAAAATTTGAAAAAAAGCCTCGGTAAGCTATTTGATGTAGCTTTTCGAAAAGCTAACTTATGTTTGCCAAACATGGCCAAAAACGGGTATATTTACCTGATATGGAAATCCAATTTGAACCCCGGATGATGCACCACTCCCTGAATACATAACGGGTCGCTCTGGAAAACAGAAAAGGAAAAAAAATGATAAATTAGTAACGGAATCAACTGGCTAATGGATGCAGCCAAGATGTTTGATGTTTCGTATGAGTTGTCGTTCTTATCGTCATAGAAGAACGTTAGAAGAGGTTTACGAGTTAAATAAAGGGATAATCACTAAAATAACCATTTTAAGTGGATCCCATAAAAAATGAACACTTTTTTCTAACTTTGTATAAAATAGACACGAATTTTGCAAATGGTTTTGTGAAATTCACCTTTCCTCAGGCGTGTAGCTCAGTTGGTTGGTCCCTAGGGATCTCGGAAAAGTAGTCAAGATTCAGCGAAAAAGTCAAAACTGTAAATTGAAGTGAATTTTGCAAAACCATTTTGCGAAATTCGTGGCTGTTTTGTAGAAAGTTTGAAAAAAGCTATCATTTTGCAATGGGATCCCTCTTAAGATGGTAGTTTTGAGAACGAATACATCAAATTATTCCTATATTTCACTGACCAGCTATATCAGTTGAGGGATTTTCGTATGAGTTCATGGCAGCGGCCCAACCTGCAATGGAAAACAATCATGGTGTTGCTATATAAATCCAATTGAAGTCGTTTTTCCGTTCAATCTTTCTGGTAAAAGAGGAAATCAACAGATTTTTCTGCATATTGCTTGAGCAGAAGTTGGCATGTAGCGAAATTAAGTCTCCAAATAGGTGAAGATGAAGAACATGGTTCAAGTTTAATAATTTTGAAGAAAGGACAATGTCGCTGACGGTCATCTCATGAGAGAATAATGACCAAAATACCCTCGAATTTAGATGACACTTGAAACAAAATTTTCTTCTTCTCACAAAATCTTTTCCCAAAACCTTTTTACAGGCCGTGGATCCTACCCTCCCCATACCCCGCTTTGTGTGGTTATTACCAGGTTCGTTTGGTTTGATTTATTGTGGAGGGTAGTGGAAAGCAGCTACTTTAGCAACAATTGCTATGGCGCTATATTTGTAACTTCATGGAACGAATGACATCCCCAAGAGTGAACATTGCAAATCTAGTATAACTTAGAAAGCAAGTGGATAACAAGAACAATCTAAGAATCGACTGGGATGTCTAATATACCATATCAATGTCAGTGATTGTGTTTATTTTCTTCAGAACTTGAACACATCCGTTGTAGTTAACTAAGACCATAAAGGTCGCAAAAGATGGGGTCGGGTGGGTCGGGTAAAGCGTCAAAACAGGTTATCTTTTTAAAGATGGCCCAAAACAAGTCGGGTCTGGTTGACCCGCCAACACCTTGTGTCCATTTTTAAGAATTTCATATTCAATTAACATATTAAAACAATCACAAAAATATTACTAAAATAAGGAATCTATTTTTTTTTAATATAACAATTTAGGAGGTTTAAGCACTTGACCATAGGTTGACCTTTTAAACTATTTGACTCTCTTCCTTTTTACTTTTAGCTATAATTTTTTTTACCGGTTATCAATAAAATATAACCCAAATTGACCTATTTCCACATAAATGTGTTGAAATTATATGTTCAAAATTCACCAACTATATAATATGGTAATAATCACATACGGTTGTTCAGAAGTTGATAAGCTTCACTGTTGCAGCATCCTTCCAAGGCAATTAAGCGCTGGGGATCTGGTCGATCCAGAATAGGAACATTTCTCAAAGCAGCTACTTGGTTTTTATCTCCATCATTCACATATATATTTGCCCGTTCCAATCCATCTGCAGAAGTGAGTTCATCAGCTTAGAAAGATATAATATTGTCCATAACTAAAAAAGCAAAAAATAATTGTAACCATTTTTAATAGGACAAAACTAAAGCTCATGTCTACTCTTTAAACTCCAAAGAGATCAACAAGCTTAAAGATATGCGATCAAGATACGGGAAATTGGCATGGAACTACTGCATACAAAGGCCCACAAGTCATTATGACACTTTAGATCTGTGGCAGTGGCGGATTCAGCAAATTTTGTCATTGGAGGCATAATATAAGATAACATATAAATCTGGACGGTATGTACATGTGCATACAAGTAATTTGTTAGCAATTTGTCCGATATGCGCATGTGCATAACATGCAGACGTGCATAAAAACCAAGAAACAACTTCAATTACTTGTATGCACATGTGCATACATCCAGATGAATGGTTACCAGGGGTTCCTCGGTTTTTCATTTTTGGGGGTTTTCCCCTGAACCTCTGTTTCTCTCTCTCTCTCTGTATGTATGTATATATATACATATATGTATCAATACCAAGCATGGTCCGCTAACAAACAAATAACAAGAATCGAAAGGATATAGGATCTCATAACACACTGCTCCCCAAGAAAAGAAAGTACCAGCTGCTTAACAAGTGACAAACTGGAGTTGGAACCAGGCTCAGATCATCATGGCCTTGGCTACCACGTGTAGCCCTATTTCAACCATTTGATAGGAACTGGACAGAAATATACTGATAGCAAACAGATAATTAACAAATTAACGGTAAATGAACTTAAAAACCAAGTAGCCAGCCTATGTTTGAGAGATGGGCTATACCTACAAAATAAGAGTCTACTTTTGAGAGGTAGACCAACTCTCCCGATGATCCTCACTAACTCAAGCTTATGTGACATGAAAATAAGCATGCCTACAAATTCCCCAACCCCTCTCTTTTTGAAGTAATAAAACAAAAAAAATACCAAAACTACCATTTACCAACTAACTTCGGCCTAATATTACTCTGATACCATTGAGTATGGCCTAAGCCAGAGTTGGTAATTAGAAGAGGGCAACATAGGGTATTCTATAACGAGACTCTGAATGAGTGATCATCATCAGGAAAGTTGGTCTACCCTCAAAAGTAGACCGTGATCGTGAACAGTTAACCTATCTCTCGAATATGGCTGTCCACTTGTTTCTTTATTGGTAGTTTGCTCATATTTCTATCAATTATCCTATCACCATATAGCTTTCTTAGTAGATATCTGGCCTAGTAGCTCCTTTTCCGTGGGGAGGACAAATCTCAGCCCCCACGACATGATCCTCTATAGAGCGAATATATCAACCTCCAACTCCCCCAATATGTTTGAATTTCTGCCCTCAAGCATGTAGCTCAGTTGGCAAAGGGGAAGGGTGACTTTGCACAAATACATAACAGATTCAGGTTCGAATCCAACAGGATGTGGGCTTGAATCCCTCCGCTTGCCTTGGCTGCTGGGTCAGCTCACGAAATGCCTCCTCACATGTGGGTGCCCGGGGGCAGGCTCCATATATCATTTACTCCAAATTATCTTCTACACTAAAACAAGCCATGGTTCAGCTATGGTCTAAACTGTAACAGCCAAAAAACATAGTGCACAACCTTTGACCTACTGTCGCCATTACTCTACATCATGCAAACCTCTTTCTCCCTTAACACCCTTTTGTCAAGATCAATTTAGCACTAATTCCACACCTGTAATAATTTCTTCTCTTACCATGACTTCATAACACCGATAAGCAGAAATACTATTCCCTATGATAAGACAATCATGATATGCATATGCTAACTTTTACAGGTTCTCTATTTCTAAGAGATGTAATATGACTATATGAGAAAGAACATTATCCAACTGCTCTCCCTCAATGGTCCTTCCATAACTAATAGAATTCCAACACAACATACTTCAAATTTCAGATCATGGGGCATGGGCATGGTGCAGAAAGTAAAGATTTATACAGAGCATAAGAAACATACTTGCCAGTTCCCACTGAAAGTCAAATCAATTATCATGAACCTAAACGAACATCAATCCAGTACGAAAAACCATAGATAGCTACACAAAAGCTCAATATGTAAGGGGGTATTTGGATATGTATTTTTCGAAGTGATTGTTCTGATAACTAGTTCTCCTATTGGCAACTTATAATTGATATTCAGAATCTGAATTGGTTTTTGCCAAACACTCAAATCTACTGCAATAATCACTTTAGAAGCAAATCCAAATGCAGCCCTAACTATGTTAGCATAATCAGCCATAGGTATTATGATTCAAGAATAACTAGACAGTATAATTCATAGCAACAGAAGATTACCTCCTCCGGATTTCCGCCTTCCAAGAGACCGGTTCCTATACACAAAGCAATTAATAATAAAAACCCCATGTTTAACAATCAACCAATCAATTCATCCCAGTTCCATACACGCACACACAAACAAAGAGAGGGTTTTGTGCGTGCCTTTGATTAGGAGGAGCATAACGTTTGACGGCGGAGATGTTGGCCGTGGATGATGATGAACCGACGGGGTTTTCCAGCATTGCTTTTAATTATATTTGTTTGTATACCAGAAAACCACCGCGGCCACTATGTATATACACACAAAGATAATTTGACCTTTAATCTGTGTCTCTGTACATCTTAAGAAGCTTAGGGTATGGAGATTTCCGACGAACTAGGGTTCTTGACAGTGCCGGCCCGTCGATCTACTGATCCCTGATAGAGATGGAAGCAGCATTCGATTGTTGGAAGACGTTTTGACGATCGGGGTCTGGAGTATCGTAGCGTTTTTGGAAATGCTTCTTATCCAAACTTTGCAAAACTATATTATAAATAACCGTTGAAAATAATTTATTAAAGTAGGGTATTTTTGTCTTTTACTAATATTTTGTCTTTCATTTAAAAATAGGAGGTTGTTTGTTTACTTCTTAATAATTTCATTAAAAGGCAATTCTTTAATCATTAAGAGATGAATTTTGTTTGATAAAAAAAAGTCTGTCTCTTGATGGTTTTAAAACCCTCTGAATGATTTTGTATCTCCCTTAACCATTTAAGAGCCTAATTTAATTGTACACAATTACCAAACAACTATATTTCATTTTGCACTATATCATAATAGCCTCTTAATCATTCTGATCACTTAATCATTTTGCACCAAACCATTCAGCAATTGTCAAATAACCTCTTTAAGAGGAACCAAAATCATAAAATTGATTCTAATCTATACTATATTATAAAGCATTTGATAAAAACTATTAAAAACCATTATTTATGCATTAAGTATTATGTATTTGCATATCACTTAAAATTTAAAATTATAAATAAATTGTGCGTATGTACAAATTATTAGAGCTCCATATTGAATCTGTATAACTAACTGCAAATAAACATAATAAAATGCAGAATAAACCTCTTATTTTAAATATTAAAAATCTAAAATATAACTAAGATAATCATTGAGTTCTAACAAAATAATTATCTTTGTAAAAAATTTATTGTTAAGCCAAAAGTAAATTACTTCATTTTGACTTAAATTAAAGTAATTGTATAAAAAACGAGAACTTTTAAATAGTTAATCCGATATTAATATTGATATACTTTTTCAAAATTTTAAGATTTCTTCAAACTTATTTTTGTTCAAAAGTAAAAACATTATTATTCTCAGAACCACATAAAACTGTGTTGTATTAACAAAGACGACAAATAAAACAAAACATTAAAATGAAGATGTATCTCGTGGTATTGCGTTGGTACCTTTCTAGTCGAGTAAAGTATAAAAAACGATAAACTAACGAAATTTCACTTGTTTAACGGAATTTTTTAACGGTTGTTAGAGGAAATGATAAAATTATGACGTTTTTGCAAATGATTATGACAATTTTGTGATTCCGAAACTATAAAGACGAAAAGTGCTATTTTTAACAAACCACTTTGACCAAATTTATAGTTTACTCTTACAATTATTTTTAATAAATAATTTTTTAGAAAATATGTGAATTGCAATTATTTTAGGGTGAATTACATATTTGGCCCCTGTTATTTGTTCAAAAACTGATTTATCCATTCTAAAGGTTGTTAACTGACAGTGCTAATTTTAAGGGAATTTGAGTGTTATGAAATTGAAAAGTTATGAACCATCAGTATAAATATTATATTTTAAGTACCAAATCAAAATTTGAACACATTACAAGGACCACTGGTATTATTTCACTCTGTATTTAATATGTTTTGATTCGTTTTATTTATTGATTTTTTTTATTAACCTAGATATCCAACCCGCTATGCGAGCTGACTAATCCCAGGACGACCATCTGCTTTGCAGATAGCCCGAGTCATCGCATTTGAACCTCCGTGGCCACAAGAGGATTTTTATTCCTCTTTGGATTTGAACCTGAAACCTCATAGTACTTTTGATATTTGGAGCCAAGCTCAAAACAATCAGGCACCACCCTTGTGGTTATTTATTGAAATATTTGAAAAAGAATATAAATTGGATTGAGTTTCCATAATTTGTACGTAATATACAAAATCTGAACTTGAAACCGTATGTTATTATGAACAAATCCACATAATACATTTTCCCTAATGATAGAGTTGCAGATGTAACGGTTCATTGTAAAACATATCTAGTCAGAGCAATTGGAAAAAGCTCGGTTCGATGGTTCGGCCTGTCCAAAACGGGGTAGGCCCAAAAATTTATGTGGTCTAGTCCACTAAAAAACCAATTCACACACACACACACACACACACACACACACACACACATATATATATATATATATATATATATGTTAGTCC